CCCCTTTCTCCCCAATGACGTCCACGATTTCTGTCCAGCCCCGGGGCCATTATTCCCTATCTCACGGTCCCCGAATCTCGATGAACTTTTTTTTTTTTTTTTTTTTTCACCTACACCGTAAAGGAGGTCAGCAGGGGTGGGGAAGGGGGGGAGGGACCAAAGCTACGGAGTCAGGGGTCTCGATGATGCTTCTTGGTTCTTGGTCACTAACTACATATAATATAATATATATATGTATGTATATATATATATTTGTGTATGTGTGTGTGTGTGTGCTCTGTTGCATTGCATTCGGCGGCAAGTGCGTGATGCTGGAGATGAGCAGTCCTAACTCGTAAGCTCTGACAGAAGGCATGACGGAGAGGTCAGCCCTAAGTGTACGAGTGGTTCTCTACCAGCGCAGAGAAGGCATATTCAGAGCTTGGGAGAGGAGCAGGTGATGACGAACGGATATGCTGTAGGCACAGGATAGGCCTCCTCGGTGCTCCCTCCACTCCAGTAGAGAGGCTAGATCCGTCGCTACCTGCACGTACATGTACACACATTCGCGCTAGTATGTCCCTGGGAGGGGTTATCCTCTTTCTGTCTCTGTCTCTAGTTTTCCTCCCCACCCCACCCCTCCCTGTTGTCATTGTGCTTCTGCCGGTCGGTGCTGTACGAGTACGGATGGGTGGTTATTACGCTCTGTGCGTGTGTGTGTGTTTGCGTGTTTGGCACGGACATGTTCCTGGAGCCAATCGACCCTGAACATCTGGAAGTTGATAGAATTCCATTCCCAACATGGGACTTTTTTTCTTCTTCACCTGTACTTCCGATTGAATAGTGTTTGAAATGAAAACTAGAGTAAGAAGAATTTTTCTTCTTCTTTCAATCTTTTTTTTTCCAGATACCTCTCTCTCTCTGTCTTATTTCCCTCAAGAATGAGGCAATAAAAGTTAACTCCCGGTACATGACCGACCTTGGCACTTCTAAACATCCTTCTTTCTCCCTTTCAAAACGGAAAACCACAATGTGAATCTCGATGACCTCTGATGGAGTAGTTTGACCCATTTTTCCCCCCAATTTTTTTTTTCTTCTCCATTCATGCTTTTCGGATGAAGCTCCAGCTGTCTGCTTTCCCGACTTGAGATGTCGTCGCAAGCTCTCGGCCGCTCTTGGTCTGATAGCTGATGAATAGTATACTGCTGTGTCTGCCGAGTAAAACAGTGCTGCCCTCTTGGTAATGAATGGGACACCCTTGGGATTCCCCGTCCTCGAATCCACACACACGAGGACGATGAGAATCCGAGGTGGCTTGATGTCATCTCTCTGGACACTCGCAGGCTACCAAGTATCGACCATGGGTCATACATAACATACAACATAGGAGCATAGGTAGTGCTGATGATGGAGCCGAGAGGGAGAAGAGAGAGAAAGAGAGAAAACCCCTCCTCCGTTCCCCTCTCCACGAGGAGAAGATCCTACTCATCGTGAAAACTGAAAGGCCATCGGGAATACAAGTACCAGAAAGGGTGATGCAGTCTACGGTACGGCTAGGGCCCTGTCGGGGATCGAGATTTCCAACAGCATAAAAGTGGGGGACGTGGGTATGCATAGTCGTAGTATCACTCCTTACTCACCTCCCACCGATGACCCTTCGTACAGCGCACGTGTGATGCGTATCTGTAGTTAGAAGTCCCCGATAGTTGTTGTTGATCAAGAGGAGAGAGAAAGAAGCCCGTCTACAGGTGTTACATAGGAAATAAGGGTCATTTCAATACCCCCCCTCCCCCCAAGTACAAGTCACGTGCGTTCCCGGAAATAATCTTCCGGGAAACACGATCCGTTCCTTTTTATTATTTTATTAAAATTTTTTTTTAAAACTCTCCCCTCCCTCTCCTACTCTCTCAGTGGGATCGCGGGGACCTATACATAAGGAGGGGACCATTTCACGCAAAGAGAGAAAGAGAGCAAAATCCCTAGTCATGTTATTTATATATATATATATATATATAGTGAATATAGCACACTGATGCAGCACACACGCCCCTCCCCCCTGACCTAGAAGCAAAACAAGCAGCAGAAGAAGAAGAGAAAAGGACGAAACAGGTTAAGAACGCATACAGAAGCCCCCATTGACCCGTCTTCCCCATCCCGCAATAGGCTAGGTCACGTTCCGTGTGCAACATTGATTCAGGAAATTCCACAAACACGACATATGCAGCACACACTAACACCCTTGGTCTCTTGTCCCCCCCCCGTGTCGTGACCGGCTGGGCATACGTAGCTTTGCTTCTGTAGTCTTGTTTTTCTTCTTCTTCTTCTTCTCTTTCTTTCCTTTTTCTTCTGCTTCAAACATTTTGGAGACGGAGAGATACTACAAGTCA